AACGCCTTACCACTCGGCCACCTCCACCTAACTCGGCTGCGAAACTAAACAAAGGGCTGCGAGATAAACAAGTAGTCACAGCGGCAGTTAAGTTAGCAATACTGGTTTTTACCCAAGATCAACCTTTGCCGAATATTAAAGACTATCTAACTGATTTCCGATCAGTCTTCGGTGAGTCGACGGTGACCATTCACCGACGCTCTTCCAGCTCAGGGCTAAATCTGTTCTATCCTGATGATCCCGGAAATTTTCTAATCTTCCCTCGGAAGAGCCAGCTTCGGCTTTCTGCCGGACAAGTCTGCTTAAAACTACTCAAGGATATAATCCTCAAGCGTCGACTACTCTCCGTCAAAGGAAAGTTAGCTTCCTTTAATAGCCAACTACCGTTTGAGAAACAGATTATGTCTACATGTATTCTTGTTCCTTCTTTGTGGCGAACTGCTTGTAGATTTTTCTCTTTTTCGCGATAGCTGGCCGTTGGTAGCCGGCGCCGATAGGCGCTCTTCCCTTGACTTTGCTGCTGGTAACACCTAACAAGCACACCACTCATCGCTGACGTGAACTAAACTTCATACATAGAAGTCGAAAAGTGCGTACCGAGATCGACCGTGGGTGCGGAGCTGAAGCCAAACGACTTGGACACCAGTGTGAGGTCCAGAGTGTTCACGTCGAAGATAGTCTTCAGGTGGTGCGAATCGTAGGACCGGACGTATGACTTGTAGGCCTCTCTTCCCGACATGTTCAGGAAGTAATTCTTCTCTATCAGCTTCTCGAACTGAGCTTGTACGTCAGCGACCTTGTTCCAGGAGAATTCGAATTCGGTGAGCTGCACTCTGACTTGCTTCAGATACTTTAAAAATCCTATCTCTTCTGGCCGTAAAATCAGCAGCGCCTGACCTCGTCCACCCTCTCCACGGGCAGTTCGACCGACTCGATGAATATACTCCTACAGTAGGATAGAAAAGGGAATAAGTAGGATGTCGTCAAATGAATCGAACATGATTGTAATCCCAAGTGGCGCATTGTTCCGTTGCTACCGGCTGACAGTGTGCGCGACTTCAGAAAACAATCATATTCATATCACTAAATTTTGTTGAAACTTGATCGGCTTCTTTGAACTTCTGCCGGTGACCAACCTTGCCATGCGTTGTAGAAACTGTTTTACGAAAGTACCTTAGGGTCATCCGGGGGATCGTACTGGACAATCCAGTCCACTTCGGGAATGTCCAAGCCGCGAGCTGCGACATCGGTGCAAAGAAGTATACCACTTTCTGCGTTGCAGAACTGGAAGAAAGTAGTGGTTCGTTTGGCTTGCTTTTGTCGACCCTACAACAAACTTTGACGTGAATTCACGTGACTTTGGACCACGTTCAGGAATTTTCACAAAAAAGCTGAGCTCACGTGAATGCACTCCGTGGGAAGGTCGACGTAGTTGAAAACTTCGTTGTGGAACTTCACCGACATGCAGGAGCTGAAGAAGACCATCACTTTCTTCTTCTTATTTTTCTTCAAGAATGTGAAAAGAAGTTGGAATCTTTTGTCCGACGGGCACACAACATATCCCTGCAACACACCAAAAACTAGCCATTAGCCTACTTTTGTCAAACACCCAAAATCAATCTCTATAAAAGCAATCCAAAACCTCATCCCAAATTTCAAACTACGAAACTTTTAGGGAAGTGTCCCGGTAATCGTCCTGTTTACCTGATTGAGCCCTTCCACCGTGGCCATCTCTTTGTTATCATCGACACCCACGTACAGTGGCGCAGCTGTAAGCGCCATCTTGATCAGGTCGGTAGTTTTGGCAGACTGAGTTGCACTGAACAGCATCGTCTGACGTTTTCCTGCAAGGGAAAACAACAAATTAAATCTCTGACACAGGCGAACAGTTAGCCACATATCGACCATTTAGCTTACTGGGCAAAAGACGGATAATATGCTTGATTTCCTCCTCGAAACCAATATCGAGGATTCGGTCGGCTTCGTCAATGATGAGACAAATGAGGTTGTTGTAGACGAAGTCTTTAGTGCTCTGCATATGGTCCAACAAGCGTCCTGGAGTGGCTACCAGTATATTCACGCCTTTGACCAACTTGTCCGCTTCGGCTTGTCGGTTAGTTCCACCCATGATCAGGCCGAAGGTATGCGACATGTATTTGGACAGTTCTTTCAGCACGCCAAATGTCTGCATGGACAGTTCTCTTGTGGGAGAAATAATGATGATTCCAGTGCCATTTCGCTGGTGGAAGTTTACTTTGTGGAGGAGCTCCAAAGCGGGGATGAGGAATGCCAAGGTCTTGCCACTTCCGGTCCTCGCCGAACCTATCAAGTCCCTATAGTGACAACAAACACTGCTATGTATAATCCATTGCCACGTCCTCCATCGCTCTCTCCATCTCATTCAAACTTACTTTCCGGTCAGGAGAGGCGGAATGCATTTTTCCTGAATTTCCGTCATGTGGGTGAAGCCCATATCGGCTACGGCTCGAAGCAGCTTATCCGACACTTTCCCTTTTAATGTATTGAACGAAGCTCGACCTGAGGAGGACGCATCTTGCCTGGGTTCTGCGGTTTCTAGAAGGATATCGGGCATAGTCAGTAATACACAGAATACATCAACAAACGCCTTAACGGTTGTGATCGGGACGTCGGCAAATTATGTCCACTAGATTACTATCTCAACTGGCGCACATATACATTGTTACTGACAGCGAGCGTGCGCCACCAGCATTCATTTACCGACGTCTGAATCGGCTCAGTGACTTCGCGAATCGTGATTCGTGACCACAATATACCTGCAGAATCTTGTCGAGCTTTGTGCCCTTGCTGTGGAGCATCTTCCAGACTTTGCGCTGTTAAATCGGTCTGTCCTAGACCGTCTTCTTGGTCGTCCCGATCCACATCCTCAGCTTTCCGCTTCCTACTTCCGGTTGGTCCTGACTCGCTCCGTTTGGTCCGTTCTCGTTTCTTCGAATCTCCCCACTTCTGGATCTTGCGCTTCAGAACTCTGTCCTGCAGGGACATTGTCGATCAGCGATAACTTCCGCAATTCGTCTCCAATACCAATTCAGGAATCAGGATCAAAGAAACTGGAACGGCAGACAGAAGTTGCCACTTGGAGTAGAAATTTTGTTACAGAATTCTGCTTGGAAGATAATTTTCTACGGAATTGTTTCGCAATCGATAGCCACACGGCATGGCTTACCATCTTCCCGTCACATCGAATCCAACGTCGTCAGTCTTGCTTGATTACGAGGTTGATTGAGCAGCTTCCAGAAGCCGCGAACAAGCCTAAATCGCAATCTCCAGAAAGCCAATTAAGGAGAACCATTAATTACCAAATCTTGAATTTTGTGAGAAATTCTCCGGACTTCCGGCTAAAATTCTTTTCCTTACCCTTCGAGAATTCTACGACGATGGATCTTCAAGCCCAAACGGACGAAGAGGTGGAGGTGCTGCTGTCTATCTACTCGGGAGACGACCGTTTCCGGAAAATCGACAACAGGACATTCCAATATCGAGTGGAGTCGGACGACACATCTAGCAATTCAAAGAGTTTCATGCTGCAGATCAAGTGGACAGATAACTACCCGGAAGCTCCGCCGGATATCAGCTTGGATATCTTCTATAACAGCCATCTTCCGGATTCCGTTAAGGACGACATTCGGTCCAGGCTGCAAGAGGAAGCTAATGTATGGCTAGGTTCCGCGATGACGTATACCCTCTTTGAATACGCTAAAGAAAACATTGATACTCTCCTTCCGGCCGGAGTCCTGCTTCAGACAAATAGGGAGGATAAAGAGCAAGAGAATCCTGTTTCTGACAGCGTATCTAAAAACGTTCAGTTTGCTTTGGACAATGCGAACGCCGGAAAGCCTAGAGGATGGAACTGGGTGGATATCGTCAAGCACCTCAACCAAACAGGCGCTTCCAGTCTTGTTCCTTCGACATAGCGTACAGTACTTTTGTCATTTCGATAAATTTTGTTCTATCACATTTAGTAGTCTCCGTAAGAGAGGCGCACTGTTGAAAGCCAGGGTTCCAGATTTTTGAGAATCTCTCAGTGAGACTTCTAATTTTCTGAACAGAACAACCTGTTTCTGAGGAACTACCAAACGTCGGCTATCAACATATTTGAGATACTGCATAAAATAGACCAGAAAGCAATTTTGGTCATCGGAAATCCAGGATACGAGTATCCAGTGGTCCGCGCAGACCTTCTCTATCAGCAAATCGAACATACTGCTTGGTTCCGGAAGTAAACTTCTTTTAGGGTGGTGCGAAAGAACTTCTTCGAGCAGAAGATGCAAATGCAGGCAATACAGCATCGCGCCACACATGTCTTCATCATCTCCACCAAATAGACAAAAAAGAAAACCACCGAAGTCTGAAACACGATGAACATCACAGTTCGCGGGCAGCGACTCGAACACCAAGTTCATTTTTGTCAGGAACTTCGCTGTCACTTCCGGGTCCTTCCGGCCCAGAGACCTAGCCTGAATACACAGTGCTTTCAGCAGAACGGACGTCAGAGTAGCTGAAGGCTGACAGCAGCATTCCTTTCCGTCTCCTTCCTTCAACCGTTGGACTTTGTCCGCGAATGTGAAAGTAGCACCTGCTCTCGAGCGTTCGACCAGGAAGTCAGCGTTGTCGACTGTCCATAGCACGAGGCCCCCGTACAGTTCGTGGTTCGCGCTCGAGCTTAGCGATCCCATATCTGCAACATAATCCAAGAACCTATCTGAAAGGCACAAGGCTTCCTTGTACTTCTTCTGAGAGGCCCAATCGGTTGGCTCGTTCCAGTTGGAAATCAGAACGTCCACGATCAGACGCTCGAAGTTCCCACAACCGTTCTTCCG